CTGTCTGTCTACCTACCTGTCTGTCTACCTGTCTGTCTACCTGTCTACCATCCGTCTAGTCCATCATTCAAAACTTTACTTAAGTCAAAGTATTAGCATGAAAATATAGTTAAAGCACCAAAAGTTAAAGTACTAATTATGCAGAATAATATATATATATATATATATATATATATATATATACATTATGTTATTGTTGCAGTAATGTGTTCATCACTTTGAAGATGGAGCTCATGTTAGTCACTTTATATACTGCTGGTAGTTTAATCATCATTTATTAGTTGACTGATAATCTAAATCTGTAAAGTAACTGAAGTTATTATATAATGTAGTGGAGTAGAAGTATAAAGTATGGTTAAATATAAATGACTCTAGTAAAGTAACAGCTGTTCTGACTTCTTCTTCTGGTCTCTGCAGGTTCTGCTGCCCCCGGTGGTGGCCTGTGTGGAGGACTCCTTCTATAAGATCACCTCGGAGGCTCTGCTCGTCGCCCAGCAGCTGGTCAGAGTGACGAGGCCCCCAGGACAGAGCCCCACCGCGGCGGGATTCGACCCCAGACCGTTCGTCAGGGAGGTGTGAGGCTCTCTGCTCTCTGCGTTTAACTCACTGGTTTTATTGTTCTCATTAATATGAAAGCAGAGTGATGATAAACTGTCGTCGTTATCAAAACACAGAAGAAGAGAACATGTTGGTGACAGACACACATTCACCATGAAGTGCTTTCACTTTTACTCATCGGAGAATTAGTCCGGCGCCGGTCGTTTGGGGCGTCATGACGGGGTACAGAAATATTCACGGAATTAACGAGAATAATATGGAAGCACTACGGTCACCTGCTCAGGCTGCATTACAGTAGTTATTAAGTTATAAGTAGCACAAATACATAAATCCATTAACTTGTAAAATACATAGTGAGATTAGCTAGTGGAGGGCTGTGTGCAAAGGACTGCTCATCTATGAATACATGTTTAAAGATGAATAATGAATGGGAATAGATGAATCAAGCTAAATACAGAGCAGCTAACTATTCAATGAAAGGCATCGTTTTGCTTTTTATGTGTAATTTACCATTTAAAGATTTTTTATTGAAATTGTTCAATATTCCCAATAATGCTGAGCTTCACTTCCCCGGTAAATATTGCGGCTCTATGCAACATGACGCCTGATTGATCAGCTGAAGGACCAACGAGCATCTGATGATTTCATTTCAAACGTCAAAAGATGCGTAATATGAATGTACATGTTGATAACTAGTTGTGAAGCTGCTGTGATATAAAACTCAAACAGACATCTGCAGCTTTATGTTCAGTAATCAACGCTGTGGCTACAGGTATCTTTGAATAAACTTTATTGAAACTGTCTGTGTCATCACATTCAAACATGTTTTACCAAATTCAGTAAAATGACCCAGAGAAGAAGTCACACGGTGTCCCTCCCCCCCACCCCCCAGGTGTTTCCCGTCACCTTGAAGAGGCTGAAAACCACCGACATCGACCAGGAAGTGAAGGAGAGGGCCATTTCCTGTATGGGTCACCTGGTGTGTCACCTGGGCGACCACTTGGGGGCGGAGCTTCAGGGTGTGCTGTTGATCTTCCTGGAGAGGCTGAAGAATGAGATCACGAGACTTACAGCCGTCCGGAGCATCACGCTCATCTCTGCTTCACCGCTGAAGGTTCAGGAACCATCTCTCTGATCGATCAGTACTTGAGTATTACTAGTGGTGTAGTACTTCCACAGTGTGGTATTAGTACTTGTACTTGCAGTAAAGGATGTGAGTACTTCCTCTTCTCGTCCAGCTCGACTTGTCGTCCATCCTCCCGGAGACTCTGTCTGTTTTGGGATCTTTCTTGAGGAAGAACCAGCGAGTCCTGAAGCTCGCCACACTGGCCTGTCTGACCGCTCTGGTCACGCACCACGCCGCCGGAATCAAACCCGCGGCGCTGGAGCCCGTCCTGAGCGAGCTCCCTGCTCTGGTGGACGAGAGCGACATGCACGTGTCACAGGTAGATCTGAATCTATGAATGTGTTATGACACAATAATCCAGCTTCAGTGTTATCAATCAGTTCATCAGTGTTTAAGGTTTGAGACTAAATGAAACGTTTTCATCATCTTCAGTCCTGCTGACCTGAGAGTCACATCTCCTCAAACATCTTTCTCCTCTCCTCATCTCCTCTCCTCCTCTCCTCCTCTCCTTCTCCTCTCCTCCTCTGACATGTGTCATGTCTCCTAGGTGTCCGTCTCCTTGCTGACCTCCTTGTCCAGGGCCTGCTCCTCCTCCCTGGCTAAGATCAGCTCCTCCGTGCTGCCGTGCGTCTTCAGACTGGTCCACTCTCCTCTCCTTCAGGGAGGAGCTCTGGTAGCCATACTGGACCTCCTTCAGGCTCTGGTTCTGTCCAAAAGCAGTAACCTGGGCTACAGGTGAGACATGTGGGTCAGACTAAGGTTTCTTTATCTGTTGATATGAATCTGATATTTTATATTTGTGTTTAAAGAAGTTCTAAAGATCAGAGTTTCCCTCAGACTTCTGTATTTATCAACATGAAGAGTCTGTAAAAGATGAAACAGCTTTAATCCATAAAGACTTTGATGACGAATGTCAGTGAAAGTTTTTCTCTTGATGTTTTCAGGTCCATCAACTCGTATTTAACAAAGTTATTTGTTTTGTTTTCATATTTAAAGAGTTTTTACTGATTTCATGCAGAACATCTCTCCTCCTTCCTCCTCCCCTCTCTCCTCCTCTCCTCCTCCTCTCCTCCTGCCTTCCTCCTCTCCTCTCCTCTCTCCTCCTGCCTTCCTCCTCTCCTCTCCTCCTCTCCTCCTGCCTTCCTCCTCTCCTCTCCTCCTCTCCTCCTGCCTTCCTCCTCTCCTCCTCTCCTCCTGCCTTCCTCCTCTCCTCTCCTCCTCTCCTCCTGCCTTCCTCCTCTCCTCTCTCCTCCTGCCTTCCTCCTCTCCTCTCCTCCTGCCTTCCTCCTCTCCTCTCCTCTCTCCTCCTGCCTTCCTCCTCTCCTCTCTCTTCCTGCCTTCCTCCTCTCCTCTCCTCCTCTCCTCCTGCCTTCCTCCTCTCTTCTCCTCCTCTCCTCCTGCCTTCCTCCTCTCCTCTCTCCTCCTGCCTTCCTCCTCTCCTCCTCTCTCCTCTCCCCCTGTCTTCCTCCTCTCCTCCTCCTCTCTTGTCCTCCTCCTCTCCTCTCAGTCAGTTGCTGAAGTCCCTCACAGACCCGTTCCACAGCTCCCAGTCCTCCCTGATCCACAGACAGTCGTACCAGTCTGTAGCTCGTTGTGTAGCGGCTCTGTCCTCCTCCTGCCCCTCAGAGACACCGGCCACGGTGGCCGGACTCCTGCAGGAGGTGCGTGGGAGTTTGTTCACAGGTGATGGACAACACCACCTGGATCAGTTTCACTGTATCTCCTCTCTCCTCAGGTGAAGAATCCTGGTTCTCCTGAGTCTGCTCGAGTCCTGGCTCTGTTGTGTCTGGGGGAGGTGGGGAGGAGCGGCAGCCTGGGAGGAAGTAAGGAGGTGCAGGGAGTCCTCCTGGAGGCCATCTCCTCCACCAACGAGGAGGTGAGACAGACACATAAAGTATAATGGGTGTAACATGGCTCTGACAGGTGTGATGTTCTCTCTGACCTGGTGAGTGCTCATTGGTTGAAGGGGAACCGGACTGTGAACACTTTGTGGTTTCAGGTGAAGACGGCGGCGTCCTGCGCGTTAGGCAGCATGGCGGTCGGCAGCCTGAACGACTACCTGCCCTTCCTGCTGAAGGAGATCTCCTCCCAGCCGAGGAGACAGTACCTCCTGCTGCACTCCCTCAAGGAGGTCATCAGGTGTGTTCTCAGCGTTACCGCCTTCTTTATCTCCTCATGTCTTCCATCTTGAGGAAGATGAAATTAGTCTGTTTAAAAGAAGTGGACGAAGTCGTCATGTCGTCTCTCGTTGGATTTGTGACGTTTTGAAGCCTCGAGTTCGGTGATTTCGTCGTCTCCATCTTGTTTTTATCAACCAGTGAACAGGAAGTGAGCATATCTGGACTGAGGAGGAGTGA